AGCAAATGAAAAGACGCTGTGATGACTTAGAATAAAATCAGATCAAAACCATAATGGGATAATTCTGATCCATGAGATCAGTAAACATTTTAAAAAATGTAATATTGCTAGTACTGCCAGCAGTGAGAGCAAGCAGGTAGCCCTAACACTGCTGAATGTAAACAGATTCAACCATATTGGACGGCAGCTTGAGTACACTGTTAAAACTCTAAATATCCATACACTCTGACTCAAGAATTCTACTTCCAGGAAACTCCTGGAGGGATATATTTCTATAAGTATACAAAAGTGTTTGTAATGAGAATATTCACCATAGATTTTTTTAAAAAATTAAAACAAAACAAAACAACTTAAATGACTATCAGTAAAGGATTGCTTATGTCAGTTGTAACACTAGCTGTCCCGACAATGGAATCCCACATGGCCCTAAAAAGAACGAGATAGGTCTGTGTGTGGTATGAAAAGAATTCCATGGAGCACTTTTGAATGAAATAAAGTTGCAGAACAGTGTGTTTGGTGTGATCCCATTTGTGTGAACTTTTAAATAAAAGCATATACATAAAATATGTTCATAATAATGTTTAGAGAAGGACAGTTATAGAATTATTACCATTTGGGGACAGGACCTGGAGCTAATGTTGGGATGGGAGACATTTATTTCCCATTTACTGCCTTTTTACTGGCATTAAAATGTGTTTTGCCATATGCATGTATTACCTTCTTTAAAGTTTAAATATTTTTAATTAATATAAGGACACAGTACAGGCAGAAATATTCTTGAAGAGTAAAGTTATTTTTCCCTTTTTACAGCATCTCTTTGAAATCTCATTCACACCATCAAAAGCTCAGAATTGAGGTAGGTTCTGGCTAAGATTTTACTGCCCTTAGTGGCAATATTGTAGAAGAGGTTATTATCTGGAAACCAAAAAGTCCATTAAAAACTATTTGAAGTATTGCATAGGAGAAAGCTGTAAGGGCCTCACTAGGAAACAAAACATTGGAACCCCGAATTATTTTATCATTTACTATCATTACTCACAATCTCCTCTAAAGGTTTTGATGAACCTTTAACCATAAAATAGCAAAGAATTAAAAAAAAAAAAGCCATATGGGATTTTTAGCAAATGTGGTCCTGATGTCATATGTCCTTGGGTTGGCTTCTGAAACAGCTCTTAAATGCGTCCCCCACCCCCAGCCTGGCCTTGCATATCGAAAACAGCTGCGCCTACACCTCCACTGCCTGTAAGCAGTTCCAGGGCTTAGTAATGGTATCCAGAACTACCTCACAAAACGGTGCAGGTGGCTTATGGCTCTTGCTACAGGGTGGATTCACTGAAGGTCAGGCTTTAGCAAAGCCTGTTCGAAGGGGGAACCTTATAGCTATGTCAATGTGAGTATATCTTCACACTCAGTTGACATCTGGCTTTTATTCCTGTTTTAGTTGTCAGTGCTGAGCATATATTTTCAGCCTAAATTATCAGTACCAACAGTGCCCTTCTCCAAGAATATACGTAAGCT